GTTTACACGAGTTTCTACCGGACAAAAATTTTGCATTGGAAAATAAATAGCGAGCATCCCGGGTGAAGATATATAGTTCGTTATCATCTATATCTTAATCTAAAACATAAATTGGTGACATAATATATTCTGATATATGTTTTTAGTTGCCGACAAATTAGGGGATTTTTTTTCCCAGTTACGAAGATATTCTCTCTCTCTCTCTCTCTCTCTCTCTCTCTCTCTCTCTCTCTCTCTCTCTCTCTCTCTCTCTCTCTCTCTCTCTCTCTCTCTCTCTCTCTCTCTCTCTCTCTCTCTCTCTCTCTCTCTCTCTCTCTCTCTCTTCTCTCTCTCTCTCTCTCTCTCTCTCTCTCTCTCTCTCTCTCTCTCTCTCTCTCTCTCTCTCTCTCTCTCTCTCTCTCTCCTCTCTCTCTCTCTCTCTCTCTCTCTTCTCCTCTTTCTCCTATCCCTCGCTCTCTCTCTCTCTCTCTCTCTCTCTCTCTCTCTCTCTCTCTCTCTCTCTCTCTCTCTCTCTCTCTCTCTCTCTCTCTCTCTCTCTCTCTCTCTCTCTCTCTCTCTCTCTCTCTCTCTCTCTCTCTCTCCTCTCTTCTCTCTTTCTCCTATCCCTCGCTCTCTACTCTCTCTCTCTCTCTCTCTCTCTCTCTACTCTCTCTCTCTCTCTCTCTACTCTCTCTCTCTCTCTCTCTCTCTCTCTCTCTCTCTCCTCTCTCTCTCTCTCCTCTCTCTCTCTCTCTCTCTCTCTCTCTCCTCTCTCTCTCTCTCTCTCGCTCTCTCTCTCACTCCGCATCTCTCTCATCTCTATATCTCTCTCTCTCTCTCTCTCTCTCTCTCTCTCTCTGACACGCACACATATACAAGCGCGCGCGCATACACACACACACACACACACACATACACTTATAATATATCTCTATCTATCTATCTATATGTATAATATTATATATATGTATATATATTATATTATATATTAATATATTATATATATAATATATATATATATATATATATATTATATCACACACACACACTTCTCCAGAATAGGCAAGTAAGGACACGCACATTTACACATAGACAAGCATACACACTTACACCCACACACACCCACACACCCACACACGCCGGCACGTCAACAGGTGGTATACATACGTGAGAGTTATTATATGCAGCTGCATATCACATGACGTATACAGTGGGATGCATTCGTTTCACTATTTTCCCCGTCATGTTGGAGGAGAGAGGGAGGGAAGTATTGAAATAGATCATAGACCTTATGGAAGGTATGGAAGCCCCTGCAGCCATGAATCTAAGGCCTCTTTCCTCAATTAATGATTTACATATATTCAAGAGGTATACTAAAATCAAGAATCACTCCTGCTGACTTAGCAAGGACTCAGAACTGAGGTCATGAGAAGAGCCGCCATCGCAGTGGGCGCAGGACATCAGAGCGACTGATCTCCATCGGATGCCGAACTACCTCATTTGTGTTGTAGTAAAAATAAAACAGAAACTGTATCTGTTTTTCATGGCTATTATGATCACTGACAAGCCCCTAAAAGGTGGCCATATCATTTTTCATAGAAAATTAATCTGTTTTCGAAAACAACACTATAGTAAGATCCAAAGTGAAAAGTCAGTTACATGAAACAACCAAAAATTAACGCAATCATTTTTTAAAATCCTGGATCCAGATCACCATCCAAGTTGAGCTATGACACACCACTGGTAAAAATTTCATAAATATCTGTTCATACCTTTTTGAGTTATCCTGCTAAACTAACCAACAAACAAACAAACAAAAACTGGATCCGGATAATGTTGTTGGAAGTTGGACTAAGACACACCGAAAGTAAAAGAATAAGAATCTACATAATTTTTGTTATCATGTTAACCAACTGACCAAAGAGCAAACAAAAAGTGCCATCTAAGTTGGGCTTAGGCACAAACCTGGTAAATAAATAAATAGATAAATAAAATAAAAATCAATTCATAACTTTTTGTTATCCTGCGCAGGATTCCGATCATGATCCGATCACCACCATTTTTTAATTATCCCGCTAACCAACTAACCATCGTTACCCCCCCCCAAAAAAAAAAAAAAAAAAAAAAAAAACCTTGGCGGAGGTACCAACTAAAGCAGCGAAACCATAAATGAAATGGGAAAAAATGATTGGAAAAAAGATATAACGTTGCAGCAAAGATCTGATGATATGCAACACAATTGTATATATATAGCCATAAATAAGACAAAAAAAGAAGAGAATATTGAGAAATAATCTTTATCATTACTGTATCTTTTACAAATATGATGATATTCATAATTACTGCTATTGCTATTATCTTTGTAATTACGATTAATCAAAAAATCATTGTCATTATCATCATCAATAATATGATTACTATTATTATAATTATAAATTGCGTGCCGTGTGCTGTTTCTTTAGTTTTAAAGACTTTTTCAATATATTCATTACTATCAAACGATTTTCACGTAGATAAGTGTTTAGATCAGCAATGAAGTAACAGATGAGTTTTAAATGAGGCCTTTTGTTGAACGCGCCTTCCTTCAATGGTCTGTTAAACATAAGCAGTTGCTGTAACCTCTAAAACACTGTTGAGGAAATAAACGTGGTGCATAATAATTACAGTTCGAGAGATATTCCTAACTGTGAAGGCTATTATATGTGTGCCTGTATTTCCATTGCATCATGCCAAATGTTAGAACATATGTTTTACCTAATGTGCAGGTATGCTTTTGCGCAGTTGTCAATTCCTCTTTTGTAACAAACTACAGACTAAAAATTGTGTGCCTTACTTTTTTCTACATTAATTTACATAATACATGATTGAAAGTTTTTTCATCGGAAGATTCAACACAAAGAAGTTATGAACAACACGTCTATGTAAAACTGTATTCTGTATGTGCATTACCACATGTGTGAACAAAGGTATCTCAGGTGTGTGCTGTCTGAGCTCCTAGTTACAGAGAGGCCACATAGAACGCTGTCAGATAGTGCGGAACAAACCATTTAAGGTAAAGTACAAACAACCAATAACTATTTAGAGAAATTAGATGATATCTTGAAACCGAAATGTAGAATAAGTTTGTAAACAATATTGAGGTAACAAAAGCAGTACGTTTTTTTTCATAACATGAGTTTTCGATATGTGCATTGGATGTCTCGCCGAACATGTATTCGTGTGAAACTCTCTCTCTCTCTCTCTCTCTCTCTCTCTCTCTCTCTCTCTCTCTCTCTCTCTCTCTCTCTCTCTCTCTCTTCTCTCTCTCTTTTGTCTGTCTTTCACTGTCTCTGTCTGTCTGTCTGTCTGTCACTGTCTCTGTGTCTGTCTGTCTGTCTCTGTCTGTCTGTCTGTCTGTCTGTCTGTCTCTCTGTCTCTCTCTCTCTCTCTCTCTCTCTCTCTCTCTCTCTCTCTCTCTCTCTCTCTCTCTCTCTCTCTCTCTCTCTCTCTCTCTCTCTCTCTCTCTCTCTCTCTCTCTCTCTCTCTCTCTCTCTCTCTCTCTCTCGCTCTCTCTCTCTCTCTCTCTCTCTCTCTCTCTCTCTCTCTCTCTCTCTCTCTCTCTCTCTCTCTTCTCTCTCTCGCTCTCTCTCTCTCTCTCTCTCTCTCTCTCTCTCTCTCTCTCTCTCTCTCTCTCTCTTCTCTCTCTCTCTCTCTCTCTCTCTCTCTCTCTCTCTCTCTCTCTCTCTCTCTCTCTCTCTCTCTCTCTCTCTCTCTCTCTCTCTCTCTCTCTCTCTGTCTGTCTGTCTGTCTCTGTCTCTCTCTCTCTTTCTCTGTCTGTCTCTGTCTGTCTCTGTCTCTGTCTCTCTCTCTGATCTGTCTCTGTCTCTCTGTCTCTGCTCTCTCTCTCTCTCTCTCTCTCTCTCTCTCTCTCTCTCTCTCTCTCTCTCTCTCTCTCTGTCTGTCTGTCTCTTCTCTCTCTCTCTCTCTCTCTCTCTCTGTCTCTCTCTCTCTCTTTCTCTCTCTCCTCTCTCTCTGTCTCTCTCACTCTCTCTCTCTCTCTGTCTCTGTCTGTCTGTCTGTCTTCCTCTCTCTCTCTCTCTCTTTCTGTCTGTTGTCTCTCTCTCTCTGTCTGTCTGTCTCTCTCTCTGTCTGTCTTTCTGTCTGTCTCCTGTTCTGTTCTGGTCTCTGTCTCTCCACTCTCTCTCTTTCTCTCTTTGTATGTCCTGTCTCTCTCTCTCTGTCTATCTTTCTCTGTCTGTCTCTGTCTGTGTCTTGTATCTGTCTGTCTGTCTGTCTCTGTCTCTCTGTCTCTCTCTTACTATTTCTGTCGAGGAGGTAATGTTTTCGGCAGCATTTGTTTGCTGTACGTTTGTCAGACTTTAGTAGAAAGCTACAAACTGATAGTGATAGAAAATTGTACGAGTTTATGAAATGTAGGATTTTTTTGCCTTTGTGAATATATATATACACATTTGATCTGTTTGAGGTGGGAAATTTGTTTTGCTTACTTTTTGGTATATTCATGCCCCTGCCCCTCTTTTCTCGCCATACGCATACGCACGCGCGCACGCACACGCACGCACACACACACACACACACACACACACACACACACACACACACACACACACACACACACACACACACACACACACACACACACACACACACACACACAACACACAACACACACACACACATATATATTATCACATATATAGTGTACACATACACGCGCGCACATACACACACATATACACACGCACACACATACACACATAGTGTATGTGTGTGTATGTATACGTGTGCGTGGGTGTGCGCCTTTATATATAAACGCAAAATGTGAATTTTGGGAGTTTTGGAGGTTTGCCTTCTCTTTCTAGTTTAAAATATCCTGTTATAGTTTACAACCGCAGCTGTTACAGTTGAAGCGACTGGAATTACGGGTTAAGGCAACACAGAGGAACAGTTATTATCTGAACTTACGTATGTTTGTATTTGCTGATTGTCTGCAATATACGCGAGCAGTCTAAATACGGAAT